CATATTTCAAAATAAGTCCCATTGGTACTAGACTCGCTATTGTCGTATAAATAGCCTTCGCCTAATACCATTAAAACTCATAACTTCGTCGGCGGCATCAGTCTGCTGTGAGACACGCCTCTGAGTACGATTGGGGGTGCATTTTTGAAAAAACAAATACTTCGAGTGTTAAAGGGCTAAGGTGTTTTTAAGTGTTGGAATGTCTGGAGGTCTTTAAGGGGGGAGCTGGTTGTAATCATTTTGCATATGTTCGCTTTGTGCGCATTTGTGCTAATACTAATCCGAATCTCCCAATTGTGCGTGTGTGTACGGGCTTTCATGGGTCTTGAAGTTAAAGCACCGTGGTCACACAATTTTATTGATCTACGTGATGCTTCAATGTGTTTGTTCTCTCAAATGTGCTTCAGTTGAACTCATTAGCATAATTACTTATTATTATTATTATTATTACTTATTATCAATCGATGCGAATGTAGACCGATTGCGCTAGCACTTTGGCGACGGAAAACTTTACAACCCCCCCCCCCCCCCCCCCCCCCCCCCCCTCCACTCTCCATTGAATGCCATACCGCGCTAATGAATGAAGACTGCGAAATAGAAGACTCGATTTACGTGGAGCCAGAAACATCTAAAGTTATTTTCCAGTCATTTCAGCAAAGTATTTGTCGGAGAAGCTAATGCAAATTAAGTTGGCTATCCACTCTACTAAAACACCAACCCCCCTTCCCCCTCTTCACCTCTAAAACTAGCATTAAACCAAAGGGCCTAACAACTGACAGTGTCAATTTATTTGCTGAATTTTACGTCTCATCCGTGATTTGTGCGAGCGGTAAATTCGCTTGAACTTTTGCTGTTGCTCTTTGCGTGAGATCTCCCTTGGGAGGATTCATTATACTAAAGTACACCTTAAATTATGCGTGGAATTTACCTATCATGTGCGCCCCACACCACCTCTCAAGCCCCCTCCCCCCCTCTCTCTCTAGTCAAAGTTTAATGGAACCGCCCTTCTGTCTGCTTTCAAAGTTATCCAAAGCGTCTACTTGAAAGACGTGTAATCAACTAGGGACACTTCCCGAATTTTGGGTTAAACTTTTTACGAAGCCCTAAGGAAAATTTGCCAACAAAAGCACCTATTGTCCGTTCGTTGTTATTCTGTTGGGATTGAATAGTTGTCATTAATTAGAAACCGTTAATTTATTGTATTAGTAAGTCATGTAGGCTTCTTTTGTTTGCTCATTTTGAACTTATTTTTATTCTTTGTTTACATTAAATTTATTTAAATTTGTTTATATATAGCTTAGCCTGGTTTTTTGAGAAATTTTCTTCCGTGGTATCGGCGTGTGAATGTGTAATCGATACCAATCGATATCAATTTTGCTTATTTTAAAGTTGTCACTGTGAGGTGGTTTGAATCTTTGTTTCGATTTTGGTTGAGTTTACTCGAACCGATCGGGTTCCTGTTGCCCTCATTTGTCATTCTGTAAATTAAAGTTATCTAAACACCCTGAAAGTCTTAAATACGCTGTTTTATGGAGATTTTAACTAGATATTCCATTAATACCTTTCCCAACTCTACCAAAATTTTTGATCTTTGAGTAATAACTTTTCTAACTTTTTGACATCTGTGTCCGTGCTTCCTCTTTCCCTGTCTCCTAGGTGCGTCTAAATTCATAGACGCCTCTTCAGAATAGGAGAAATAAGTAAATATCGGGTACATATATCCATTCTTTGTTGTACGTTTGATCGGCAAAGCTGATTTTTAGTGTCCTGGAGATCTGGGATTGTGAGGTGATATTTTGAATTGAAAGGGTACTCACTTCTTAGAAAAAACAACTGTTTATTTATCTTTTAAGAAATTAAATTCAATGGGATTTCCAGTAATCCGTTCTAATTGGTGAAAACATTTTTGCCATTGTTTTAATCGTCTGTTTACGTTTACTGCTTACCTTTTAAAAATAGTATTGATTGAATCGCACTTGTGGAAATATATTATCTCGGAGATTATCGATTTCTATTGTTTGCTTTTCTTTTATTCAAAATTATTATAGCATCACATTTTTTATTTAAAAAAAATTCGCTTGCCTAGTTGGTAATAGTGACTGTATTTCCTTTTAATTTCACGAAGGGGGGGGGTGGGGGGGGGGGGTAAGACTCTTCCCACCTTTTCAAAAATAAAACCAGTTGTGGAAAAGTGATAAAAATGTATGAAGGAAAGAAGGAAAGTGAATAAAAACAACACAACGCAAATGCATGCGCGCGAGGGAGAGGGCATGTGATGTGAGAGAAAAATGTGGCCTTTTCTGACGAAATTCCCACAAGACAACCACTACTTCTACCTGTCAAAAATTTCAAGCCGATTTGCATATGTGCTTCTAAAAACTTGTGAGAGAGTGGATCGATAGAGGTGTTGAAGCTCCCTCTTGAGAAATTTGAATTCTACCACTCCCTTTATTGGCATACCGATGTGTGGGGGGGGGTTGTTTTACTAATCTTCTATCGTGTTTGACTTTAACATTTTTCTTAATAAGATAACCCATCGTTTTTTTCTAAATTTGGCAACTTTTTGCCTTCACGTTTTTTTGCTTGTAAAGTTAAGTAATTTAATTATCTGTTTTGAGGGAGTGGTCTTACAACACACAAAATAAATCATATTTCTCATTCCCTGTTTCATTTTTGTTATGCATGCTTCAAAACTAATTGATTATAGGCAGGTTGACATCTATTCAAACATTTATCAAATTATGTTTTCTTTCTGTTTTCCAAACTGTCGAATGCAAGCCAGCAGTGCCATTATAATACTTATTTTTTTCCATATTGAACTAGAGTTTCTTTAGCAGGGAAAAACAGGTTCCGTTGTATTTGCATTATCCTGTGAAGAGTTTTTGCTAATCATATTTTCAAAACTGGATAAATTATTTTGTCAATATGATTAGAAATTTGTTCCAATGGTTGCGTTATGAAATCCATTGAGGTGAGGGGAACAAAAAGATTTTGAAAAATTTCTTCCTGTTTCAAGTTTTGCCTTTCTCTTAGGTCGGGGTGGGGGCGGGGGGTAGTTGCATCAGGTACTTCTTTGCTATATTCCTATCCCATTCTTGCTATTTCGTATTTCACAAATCATTTTTAACTTTCTTCTGATAGCCGACGCTCGGAATTCGTCGAGTGTGAAAAGAATATGGGTTAGCTCAACTTGATTCAACTGAACCCTTAATTTCATTTTGGTTATACTTGGTTTATTTGAACTAGCAATTTAGACAGGTGTTAGGCAACTCACAATTTGATAGATACTGAGGTGAAAAGAATGATAATCTAAAGGTAATTCAGTCTTGAAATCTCTGATATTCTTTACGTGGAACTCGCCTTTCATGGTAAATATATGGAAGTACTTGATCATTTTGGTGTTTTAAAGAGTGAAAGACTTTTTCCTTTGCTCAAAGATGCTCTCGTCAGAATCGATGAAATTTAAATGATTGGAGAGCTGTGGCGTTCTTTAATATCAGCTGGTGTAGCTCTTTCTTCCAACTGTCAATGTAGTTATATCAAATGGCAGGCGTTCTGATGGTTATCATTAGCCCTTTAGTTGACTTCAGGCTTCACGTTTGGATAGTTATCATTAAATAGTTATCATTAGCCCTTTAGTTGACTTCAGGCTTCACAGGGAGGAAGGAACATCGAAGGGAAAAAAGTCGAGAGAGGGGGGAGGGGAGGAAAGAGAAGAGTATTTAAAAGATGTAAAAGAGATAGACACAAAGGTAGAAAAACGGTGGGGTGAGTACTGTGGAAGTGGTGGAGTATGACATACAGTGGGGTGCTGGTAATTTGAAGTGAGAAGTCAACTGCCGGTTAAAAGACTTTTTTTTTGCCGTACGAGTATACGTTGCCCAGGGTGCACCACGTGGAGGTAAGTCTATCGCACCCCACCCCCCCAACTGTCAATATAGTAGCATGATTTCAAGTTGCTTTGAAAATCCATTTTNGATGGTTGTTTGAAGTGAGAAGTTAACTGCTGGTTAATTGACTTTTTTGCCGTGTGATTATACTTTGCCCAGGGTGCACCACGTGGAGGTAAGTCTATCGCACCCCACCCCCCCAACTGTCAATATAGTAGCATGATTTCAAGTTGCTTTGAAAATCCATTTTCTCTTTCAGATCCGCTTCGTGGAGACAGTGAGTCAGAACATTCTAGCGTAAGTACTTTCCAATTGCATTTTCGTGCCCATTCGCTCATAACTCAATTGCCATAAAGTAGGCTGTATGAAATGAAAACGTAGCTACTTAAAATTAAACATATTTTTTTGTTTTAACTCGGTGCCATTCATAAACCCGGAACTTAGTTTCTACATTTCATTATTTTAATTAGCATAATCTCACTAAGGAAAAATAGCTCTTTTGTAGTAATCCTACATTTAGAGTAAATTTTCGTTTGCAATTATGTCATTCACATTGGGTTTTAGCAATTGTACTTTCTATGAATTAACTTAAGCCTTGTCAAACACTTTCCAATTTGATCCACACCTGAAAGGCTTTAATCTAACAACCCCGTTTGAATAGGCTCAAATCATAAAATTGCTCTCTTTTGCATGATTAATCGATATAGTCGCGAACTGACACATATATATCCTGCTCTCATTTCCAGTCACAGTTTGAGCATGAGCTGAAACGCCAATCTCAATTACCCTACTTTTTTCACTGCTTTCACCCGATTAACCTTTTATGATCTCAACTTTTTACAGTGTCACAAATTCTCTTGCGTGAGTTTTTCTACTTTCCCGAGGAGCTCACATACCCTCAAACTAACTCACTCTTGTGTATTCATTCATTTGTTTGGAAAAAAAACTGTTTGTGTCGTTCCATTTGTTACATGCTATTGGTTGCTCACTGGATGGAGATGAAGTGCTTATATATATATATATATATATATATATTTTTATATTTATATTTATTTATTATTTATTCTGAACTGATTTTTTGACAATTTTCTTTCTTTGTTTCCTTTTCAGGTTTTCTCCTCATCTGGTAAATGAAAAGTCATAAATTTTAATCTTTACTCAAGAAGAAGACAATATTTCGTTAAAAAAATACATAACTTTCAGGTCAACCAAGGCGAATAACTTCAAAAATAGGATCCTTGTCTAATGCCCACTACAAACCGGGAGGCGGCAATGTAAGCGCTGTTTAAGACGATAAATTGTCATACTATATTACTTAATTGTAGTAAGCCACCGTTTCTTTGTTTCCTAGGTGAAAATCCTTGATGAGAAAGTTGACTTCAGTTATGCACAGAGCAAATGCAACTCGAAGGCAAATTTGAAACACAAGCCTGGTGAGTCCAAATTGAATTAGATTGTGTTTGGCCTGCATTACTAATTTGTTTAAATACCAATAGCTAACACGTTCTTTTGTTGATTTGTTTGGTAAACTGCTTAGGTGGAGGGGATGTGCAGATTGTGGACACTAAGTTGCACTTCAAAGAAAATGGCCGATCGAGGGTTAACTCCCTGGCTAATGCCAAACATGTTCCCGGTGGAGGAAATGTGAAGGTCAGTTTCAGTTGTTTCGCTCTCGCATCGGGATGTCTGTATGTTTTCCACTTCGTCTAGTTATTCCATCTTCATTTTGCTTGCTACGCTGGTATAGAGCTTTGTGCGGATATCCGTTGGCTGTTCACAGTTTTTGTTTCGAGTTCATAAAGATAGGATTTTATGCCATCATGTGAACTCTACTAACAATCACCTGGTTATTCTCTATTGAAAATATACTTTTCTGGTATTCTCTGTTCCATATCAGGGGCTACGGATTCAAATCTTACCGGCGCACACACAATGAACGAGTTGGTTTTGTCTGGCTTTTAATTGGGTGGCAGAATTTGAGCACCTTTCAAGTGAGGTCCTAGGGAGGGGGGAGGGGGGCACTCCTTACCCAATATCCTCTTGGAAAAGGCTTTTCAAAATGCACTTGGGAATTACTATTACTGTTGGGTACTATGTGTCTTTTATCCATTTGAATTTGCTGAATCTAAGTAGTGTCAAGGACTGCTGTTCCGTGAATTATCTTCCATAATCCATTAGATAGGTCTACCTTCAATTCTATTGATCACCTGATTCTCATAAGTAAAGTTGAAAAATTATCGAACCTGCCACAAGTTGTGCATCCTCTTAGATGATGACACACTTATGTCTATTCCAGCCACTTTATGATAGTGTGTATCTGGGTGTTGATTGGCATTAAATGACCTGGGCCAACAAACAGTTAACAAGAATACTGCAAATAAGAGGTATAACCCCAATCATATTGATATAACATGTCCCAGACGTTCGGTTAGATTTTCATACTGCAAATTGGAGAGCCAATAAGATTATCAAGGTCACATTCTGAAACCTCTAAATATGTATCGGTTGTCCGATTTTAACAAGATATTTGTTAATGTTACATTAACGACCTTAGTGCCTCTTATTAGTGCCATAGCATTCATTCTGGTCCACTTCGGGCAGATGAAGACAATGTTGTGGTCAATCCTCGCCCTATCCAATTAGAAAAAAGCGGGTCCCGGTTTTTCAGCGTTTTGTATGTTATTCTCTGGTGGGGGCCTCCCTGATGTTAATCTCATCTTCCATTGGTTGGTTGAAATCCCATAAAATTGATTACATTTTATTGGCGTTTTTTGCTTTACAGATAGTCAACGAGAGGCTTCCGTGGCTGAAATACAATAAACCGAATTTGCCACCTGAGGAGATCGCGAAAATAAATAAGCATACTCCCTTGGGGTCGACTTCATCCCAGGAACCTATTTATACATCTCGTCACTCGAGCACTACGAGCTGATTCGCTGATCGGCCGCCCAATAAGAATACTATTAATCCGTTGTGCTTTCCATCACAAACCTACATTATACACATTGAATCTTAATACTAATATTTTCCCCATCTCTATACCACTTCCCTCATTGATTAGCTATATATCATCACGCATTATTCAGTGTGGTGTGTGTGTTAACGTAAACAGTTTTGTGTGTCTCGAAATAATAATGGTGTCGAGTTTACTGTTTATGATGCATTGACTCTTCCTTTCTATTCCTGACATTTTGTACATTTCCCTAATGTTAACCCCCCTTTCACGTCTCTACATCTACATCTTACTCCTCTATACACTGAGAAATTTAACCATTTTAAATGACACTCCTTGATCTGGATCTGAGTTGAAGTATTTAGTAATGCACCGTTGACTCATGAATGAAGAGATGTCACCAACAATTTGCATTCCCTTTTTCAGTTTGTTTTAAAGGCTGGCTAAATTATAAAGACCCTAAGATAGGAAAGGTAAGTTCGCTCTAAAATAGGCAAAAGCTATGAAGAGGTTTACTATAGGTAAAGAGCGGGTTGAATTGGTTAAAATGGGAGCAGATAGTGGACTGTTTAAGCAGATAGATCGTCCCTCTGTCGGAGTGTATTGTGGGCTACCAGTGAAATAAAAATTTTAGAGAGCTTGCTCTTATCTTGAGTTTAAATCTACACCACTTATCATATGCACGTGACTTCAAAACTATCTGCAATATCACTCGACGTAACGAAGTCGGTATCCAATACCTCTAAAAGGTCGACCAACGAAGAGATATAAATTTCTAATGAAAAAGCTTCAGGTATCTTAATAGCTCAGAAGAAGTAATTATCAGTTATAAAACCTTTTTTAAAAACTAAAGTGGTGTCAACTATATTAGGACCCAAATTTGCTGGTAATGATAAATAAGAATTCGAAAGTGGCTAGATAATTGGCGAAGTATTAGTATTTTATGTAGATTTTGTGGTTGAGATAATTTAAGATATATTGATTTAAAATAACTTTTAGCTATCAACGCAGAAACAAAAATGCTAATTATCTTATCGAAGATGACTAATTTCGCTATTCAGAATTGCAAACACTGTGTAGTCCTGAAATAACTTACTTTAACTATTCTAGCAAAAAATATTAAAAAGCTTTGATATTCCGGCCATCATCTACGAAAATACAGTTTTAATTTTTACAGAATTATTCGATTATAAAAAGCTTACTCCAATTTGAATAAAATTGAACGAAATCAAAGCATACTCATCATAAATTACAAAGCAAAGTAAACTTTTAACAATAGCGCTCATACTCTGCGGACTAAAATTGACGAACGCTTCTAACTGTAAAACTATATGAAATATAAATAAAAATTATTCCCCAGTATCATAGTCCATTGTGAACTTGTCTATTTTCGGTTTGTTTTATTGTAGCAAAAATATAATTAAAGGGATATCTTGTTTACCCTCTAAATTGGTTGGTACTTTTTTAATCCAAGACATAATTGTTAGCCAGTGCGGTAGCATGTTTCACGAAACAACAAAACTTTACGATATCCCATTAAATCACCTGGATTTTGCATACATAACAAATTGCAATAAACTAAAGGAATTAGAGAAAATCTTAAAGGTACTTCGTTCTGGAAGTGAAGGTAGATACCCTGAGTTAGAAAGACATTGTGAAGAGAAGTTACGTTCACTGGATCCCGAAAAGTAATTGAAAAATCTATTTGTAGTTTATTGGTTTATGTTTTTCAAAAAAAGTTTTCAAGCCCACTAATTAAAACTAATTTAAATGTTATACGCTATTGTGCGAGCGTAAATGGTTTAAATATTGCAGCTAAATTTATTTTCTATTAGTCGCCTCCTACGAAAGCCGGGATTATTACTAAGCCCCTATCACTTACCGCCCGAAGAAAGAGAAGAGCTTGAGTATGGTCTTCACGAATGGCTTGAAGAAACAAAGAAGCAGGAGAGGTTGTTCACAAATGCAGGCAGAAGTTCAAACATGGATGAAGATAAGGAAGATCCACTTGTTCCTGGAGTTAGACAATTGGGTGCAATCAATCCAGATACCGGCAAGGGCACACGGGTATTAAATATAATATGCATTTTTTTATTTTCATTGAAATCGATATAATACGCCTTGCGCATTCAGGTTCAATCATCCAAAATGAAGTCAACAAAGTTAAAAACTTATGAAGAATGGGATAAGTAAGCAAAATGGTCAGTATTTTATAGAATTGAGTTTACAAATTAAATTACTAACGCGTCATTTCAGATTAGGAAAAGACATTGAAAGGGAATTTGAATTGGAAGTGGGCAAAGAGGAGGTGACTAATGGCGGAAATGACAGCGAGGTAAAGAGGACAATTCCTGAAAAATCGAATCCTAATCTCGAAGGTCTTCAAGAACGTGCCAGAAGTATGCCGAATTACATTCGAAAAATTAATGCTCAACGTGAGAAGGAAAAGGGTAATGAGGTAGGATGAATTAACTTATAGAATTATAGAATTATAGTAATAGACTTTTCGATGGTAGTTGCAACGATCCTCTCTTTAGCAAGCTTTAACAAGAGATGCTCATTATACTGTAAGCAAAGAAAATCTACTTTCAGCCTTCATTTTACTAACGGCTTATCTCAAATTTTACTTGTTTATACGGGCTTTGTTTGCATATAATGTTTTTTTAGCGTAAACAACTTCATATTAAATAACTGTAAATATTTTATACTGACATTTAAGTCAATGACACTTTTAACTTATAACATTAACAATTCGGAGCTTACAGCCAAAAAATGTAATTTTAAATCTTAAGAAATGTTATTGTAATTTTGACAAAAAGGATACTCTTGATTCACCCCCCAAAAAACTGTTCACTTTCGTAGGCATTGATTGCTGGCGATTATACAGAGGCTATGAAGTACTATGAAAGAAGTTTAATTTACAAACCCACTACAGCTGTATACAATAACAGAGCTCTACTATGTAAGTTATTTATTTGTGTACCATAAAAAGTACAAAATATATATTGAAATATTATTTTTCTCAGATTTGAAGCTGAAGAAGTGGCGTCTTGCTGTGGATGATAGCAGTCGTGTTTTGGGCGAAGAACCGAAGAACATAAAAGGCATGTATTAAAGATGTTATATTTCAATTCTTTTACACAGTCATCCGGAGTACAATCGGTCATTCTTCCCGAATGTATTATTAGCAGATATGGTCAATCTGATTAATTTATGAAGGTACAACTAACTAGACTTTGGGATTAGAATATTTATTGGTCAAAATGGCTCTTCGAATCAAGAATAAAAACTCACATACATTATATTTGCTAGCCAATTAATGGCTGGCGGCTTACTTACCAAGTTATTGTCAATATGGCCCTCTCGTTGGTCTCAAGGTGTGAGGGAAGAAATGCAATAATCGATAAACCGGTGAAGAAGTGATAAAGATAGTGAACTCTATTCAAGTTCTTCGAAAGAATTCGACTGGCCATCTTACTTTTGTGGTTCACCGATTCGAATCACTAACAAAGAAGGTCTCTTTTAACATCTCTGTTTCGGAAATCGTCATGTTTCTTCTTCTTTATATTGTGACTGACATATGGGAGTGGCAATTTTTCTAATTTTCAGAATCTTTAAATGGATATATTTGCTGGCACTCACCATTGATGGAGGATAGGTATATGAATGTATGAAAAGTATAAGTAGGATTTTAGCATATCTGTCAAAAAAGTGTTTGAAAAAAACTGCACTCCTTTCGAAAAAATAGTTTTCTTTTTCAGCTTTGATGCGTAGAGCTCAAGCGTACTATGAATTACACAGCTTGAAAAAAGCTCAAAGAGACCTCGAAGTTGTTTTGGAAATGGAACCGGAAAACCTGAGAGCAAAGGTAAGTTAAAATTGCATGATGACTTTGTATATAATAGATTGCAAACAATTATGTCAATTTTAAAATACTAACAGCTATTTATTTTTGAGAGTTTCTTTTATTTTCTATTGAGAATTGATAAGTCTGTGTTAGTTCCTCCAACCAATGGTTGGTCCTATTGCAAGAAATGGAGTTCTTGGCAGATGTTAGATCTTAAGAGACATGTGAAGCCATCTGACCTACTAATCTTCTTGCAACATTACTGGAAATCATTTTATGGATTGAAATGAAAGCACTTCTGCGGCTGCCGTCAGATAAAAAACTTTGAAAATACTTTACAAGAACTACTGAAGTTTATCTCGTTCATGCTATCTTCTAGAAGCCTAGAGAGGAGAATTTCATTGAGTAATATTTGGAAGTCAAACATACCTCTGGGAGACAAGTTGCATTCAATATAAACGAAATAAAGACGCGAATCTAAGTATCTTAAGCTTTTATTTCGAAAAGGTTACTCGTTTAGATAAGTGAATTCTTCAATCATTTCAGAAATTGCTCAAAGTTGTGAAAGAAGATCATGAGAGTCGTCAGAGCTGTCAGCTCAAAGGTGGGCGTAGAATGGTCATCGAAGAGGTGGATGAAGATTCCTCTGATGAAGATCGAGATGAAGGCAATGGCGATGGGGAGTATGAAACAAATGCTAAAACTGCGCCAATGAACTCAGGACTTATCCAAATGCCTCCACCAATTAAACGCGGTGTTGAGATTGAGGAAATTTTTGATGACGGTTCAAAGGTAATGATTGAAATAGTCGCTTACTTTTATCAAATTCAGGCTGAGGATTCAATTCCTTTGAATAAGGACTACACTAAGAAAGACGAAACCAAAATGCCTCCAATTAGACGTGGCGTTGAGATAGAAGAGGCTTTCGATGATGTTTCAAAGGTAGAGTTGTGAAAAAAAACGCTTAAATTCTCGTTTGACTCTATCTAGGAAGAGAAGTCCATCCCCCTTACTAATAAAAAAGTAATTAAAGAAGAAGGCGCTAGCGTTCAAGTCAGTTGAATGAAAGAGTTTCCGTTCTTAAATTACTAGCAGTGACAAAAATGAATAGGTCAGTTTCATTTTTAGACGCAAAAACCAATAGTCAACTTCTCCAACTCTGGTATGTTAAGTGCACGTTTCCATTTTTCAACAAATAAAAGAAATTTATGAAATGATATCATTCTCAGATGATAACAAACGGAGGTACTCTGAACTTATTGAGGAACTTCGAAATTTGGAGACATCAAGATTGCAAGCAGGTTAGTGACCTTTAAATTGGTTACAAATTTATTCTGAGTATGTACAGTGGTGGTTAAAATGCTTTCATAATTGGATTTTTTCAGCTCTTGATGCCAAACTTGACGTGAAACTACTAGAGGAATACATATTTGCTCTACAGGAAATCGGTATGCCAAGGGGTAGGTGATTAAATTTAAATTTGCGCCAAGGACAGTTGGTTCTGCCAAGTGTATCAGAGAATTTGATTATCGTCCTTTTCTTTTCAATTGCTGCGTGTGGTAAACTCACAGCCTCTCTTTGTTTCCATTTCAGGTGATTGCAAATTCGTACACAAGTCGTTGGAAGTAATCAGCCAAAGTTCCAGATTTACTGTCGCAGCTATGCTGTTCAGCGATTCCGCCATTAAGGGTAATTACACTTTGTCAGCGCAGTTCGTTACCAACCCTCATGTGATCAACCTTAATGGATAAAATAGACAAAGAGGAGGGAGCAGAACTAGAATACCTCGTTGGAAGGGAAATTTGATGTTTGCTTCCTTTAAATAGCCATGGATAGTAAGCACGTCTTCCACGATATAAGTTTAACCAACAAGACTGCATGCCAGAAATTGGCGGTAAAAATTAAAGTTCACTTCGGCCAACTACAATGGACACTGTATAACATCCACAATTTGTTCGTTAAACACTGATTTGAGAATTGGGATATTGTGTGCTGGGAAGACCTGACAAGAGATAAGAACGAACGTATTGGGTAGAACCCTAAAAGGACATAGAAGACCTGGGGGAACACGTCTTGACAGGGTCATGCATTATAATGTTGAGTCATTTAAGGCTCTTTAAATTGGCCAATAAGACACGCTTGACAAAAGATGAAAGCCAATCGTACTCAGGTCAGCGTTTCTAAATGAAGCTCTATTATGGGGTTAGATACTGAGAGAATGATTACCTTGCTATTAGGTTGACATTAAGGCAATTGACTAATTGGACCAGCCCTACTATGAATAATTTAAGTAGGTGCTTTGAACTTAGGAGACTGAAGAATAATCCTACTTTAGGCAATAGACTTTAAGAGAGATCATTTGAAAGCATGGATCCAATAAATGGGTTCCACACAGATTAAACGCTGGTGAATAGTTATTGGGACCAAAGATTCGGTAATATCTTCACTAATTTCTTTTAATCGACTTCTTTATGCTCTAGCTATTTATAACGCATGCATTAAAACACACTACTACATGCTTTGTAATTTGAAAATTCACTTTATACTAAAGATAAAATTCTCAACCTATTCTTTGATTCAGCCACAGAAAATATCTTCAACCAACTACGCACAACGTCCATAGATCCCAGCAGTCTTGATGAACTTCAAAGCCGATTTTTAAACTGTTAGACAAGCAATTTTGATAAAAAAAGTTCCTATTTACTGTTTTAAAAAAAATTGTAAGAATAAAGTGTCATACAATTTGCTTTTATTACTCAATATATCACAGGATGCAATGGTGTATGAAAAGACAAAGGCCTATGAAGTTAGCATGTAGTAAGCCAGGGAGGGAAGGTTGGATACAGAGTGAAAAAAGAGGATAGTTCCTGAAAGGTTCCATGAATGGCAGAATCCGAAACTACATAGGATCCTTGATGATAGAGTAAGTTAACACCAGTTCGCTAGGTTGCTTCCAATAGAAATGTCGTACTGTTCGTAGATTCATATCGGGATCCAGCAACTGCAAAACGAAAATTGGCACATATATACTACTAATAACTTAATAGTAGATAAACGTTAGAATCCATGTGTTGGCTAATTATGCACTTGCGATTAGCTGTAAGTAGAGAAAATCAAACTTACATGATCACCACACCAAATCTGGATGATATCTTCAGGGGTAGATGTTGCTCTGAATGCGGCATTAGCAACGGCAGTAAGGTCAGCAAGAGTTGTACCTGGTGGAGCCTGAGCTGGAACAAAGGTCACATTTGTTGCCATTAATTGTGGATTGCCGGCGTTTTCATTACTGGTGCTAGGAGTTGGTTGGGGTGAAGAACTCGGTTGGCCACTATTTGAGTGGGACGAATCTAAATAAGAAGAGATAAAAATGCCGCTACGCATGAATAAACCACTTAAGGAGAAGCCATATATCGAACAACGGAAATTGTGTTCGTGAATGATAGACCACAGACCAAAATATCACCAAGTGGGTTAGAAAAAGGAATTAATAGAAATAGGGGCAAGGGACACGCCTTTTAACTCTTTAATTTCGTAAAAAGTCTGAGGACCTAACACGAAAGACGACATATTCCAAGTTAAAGTTGCTTTGAAATATTCATTAGTAGTGACACATTAAAACCAAGTCTATTCAAATAAATACCTTCACCAACAGCTGCATTATTCGTAGAATTCTGTTGAGATGATCCGTTGGACATCTGATCAACAGGCACGGATGTGGCGGATTCAACCAACTCCAACATCCGTCGGAACTCATATTCCATAACCTTTCGAATAGTGAGGGTCTCATTTGCAGATAGTCTCTCCCGATTGGTGGCGGCTGATCCTGTAGAACCATTGGCTGAAGAATGTCCTACATTTGGTGGGCTGTAATTGGGGAAGAAGAAGAGACCGTGCATTAAGAGAGTATGTGGTCTTATTACCCTTCAAAGGATGCTGAAGTGACTTACGTTTTAGATTTGGGATTTGAGATTTTGGTGTCTTGCGTCAAACAGAAAGGTATCTTGGTAGCCTTGATGGGTTTGCGCTATACGAAAAAAGAGATCACGAAATAGTATGTGTGCCGCAGCGATCATGAATAATTAAGTTAAAATAGTGGACGGTAAAACAAATTCACAGTGATCCAAACGTTATAAAAAATGATAACTGTTTTTAAGATAAGGCAATAACCGTGTAATATTCCATTCATGGAGTGTGTGCATCCTGGACAACATATACTCATACGGCAAAAAGTCTATTAACCGACAGTTGACTTCTCACT